GCATTTGGGGAAGGAATAAATCATTCAAATAACTCTGACTTGAGGCCTGACTGCGGCGTCCATTTTCTGATGTAACCTTTCCTGTTGTTTTCGTCGACCCTACATTTGTAACGGAAGTGGAGTGCAAGACGAGAGTGCAGTCGTGAGTTTTCAGACAGAGAACAGAGGTCATATCTGGCTGTAATTATTCTGATCCCATGAAACAGTGAGAATAGAGCGAGAACGCCCCCCCCCGTCTTTCCCCAATGAAAACATTTAGTGCATGATTACGTCTGCATTTAACATTATTTCAAGCTACTAGTGATCTCAACAATTTTCAAGTCATGAAAACACGTTCAAGAATAGATATTAGACATATTTAACTGGTAAGAGAATGAAACAATGTTTTTGGATTTAAAAAATATTGTATTCCTGTGAACTTATTTAGCAAAAAAAGTGCATTGTTTGTTACCGATACCTTACTCATCACAACTTCTGCATTTTACAAAGTATAAGTAAACCCTTTCCTAAATGGCATCTTTTTTTAAATGTAAGATATGCAGGAGGAAAACATTCCTGTATTTAGGCCATGTACAATCCTTAGAATGTATACAACTGTGATCATTCATACCCAGCCAAAAACCTTGAGGACCATTTCCACTCTGAGAGCCCCGGCCGGCCTGCAGACGCGTGGCGGTCAGGCTGGTTTGGTCGGTGAGGGGGCTAGTTATGTATTTATGGCTGGAAAGAGCCATCTTTTCTGGGGATTGATTTGGTCCTGCCCTGGGTGAAGGGAGGGCCGTGGAGGGAGGCTGGAGGGGAGCAGGAGGAGAGGTGGCTGGCAGAGTAAATACCTGAAGACTAATGTCTCTGTTCAGCAGATCAATACTCGCCTCATGACTCCAGCTCCTGGCCATGGTCTCGTTAAAAACACATTTGTTAATTCTGACAATTTAATTGCTCTTGACCAAGCATGCCTTGAGCTTTAGTAATGTTAGCATATGAATGAGCATTTTGAACCTCTGGCAATAGGGAAATGACGTGAGCCTAAACATAGCATGCCTTTACTATAGAGTGAACGTAGCATTTGAATGTTGAACCTCTGGCTAGAGAAGCGATGGGGCCTTAAAGTGTAATGTAGACAGGTTTTATTCACATTTGTGCCCCCTGCTCGATCTCAATGAATGGTTTGGGTGACGTGGCCTGAAGGGTATTTTGTTAATGTGGCATACCAGCTTATTTCAGAAATGTTTCAGTGTTGTCTCTTGTTATATGTTGTAAAATGTTTTATTCTGATGTATTTGTCAAGGATTTATAATATAACCACAAAACGTCACATTCACACTCACTGAGACTTTATATTTAAGTAATAAGGCACGAGGGGGTGTGGTATATGGCCAATATACCACGGCTAAGGGCTGTTCTTAAGCACGACGCAATGTGGAGTGCCTGGATGCAGCCCTTAGCTGTAGTATATTGGCCATATATCACAACCCTCCGAGGTGCCTTATTGCTATTATACACTGGTTACCAACGTAATTACAACAGTAATACCTGTGGTATACGTTCTGATATACCACGGCTTTCAGACAATCAGCATTCAGGGCTCGAACCACCCAGTTTATAATTATGAATAACATAGACAACAGTTGACAGACATTGCTTTAGCTGAAGGGCACGTGAAATGTGTTAGCCTTTGAATATTTTGCTCAAACATAGCATAATATCCATTGCGTTTTTTTATTTTTATTAAATGTTTTGACTTTTCACTGTCTTTAGTTTTTATTGTGCTTTGATTGTATCACTTTTAAGTTGAAATTGCGTTAAATGGATTTTAATTGTTTGGTACACACTCCCACATTTGATCATATACACTCACATGCGTTCAAATCACTTTTCTGTACATATGTAATATATCACAAATATACATCATATCACTTATGTTTTCTTATTAGTATATTGTATCTTATATCATTATGTAATATTGGCATACATGTATCATAAGTATAATCTAATCATTGAGTTTTTTATTTTCTTCACTTCTAGTTTTGAAAGCAGCACTATGTTTGTAGAATTTTAGTCACACACAATAGACAATCTAACATGACCAAAGTGTATATGTAATTCTGATAATAATATTCACAACTAACAAGTAAATCATTCACAGCTTATTATTAGCAAAGTAGTAAGTTGATATAGTAGCAGCAGTAGTAGTCAAAGTAGTGTTTCCTTCTTAGTTGTGACACAACTCAAGACACTTCCACATCCATATGCTGGTGTGTTGAGTGTTGTGGTCTTCCCAGGGTGAGACTTAGTGAGCATGTTTATGGTGGAATGTACAGAAGTTCAAATACACGTCTGCCTTTTTCATCTCAGTCTCCTGTCAGAGAAAGTAGCCTCTGCCCATCGGTCTGTCCAGTCAGTCCACTTGCATGGTGTGAATATACTATACTATTGTAGCATGTGGGATGTATTAGAGAGCTGGTAGTAATTTCAGTGCCGCTAACTAAAGAATCCTCGGGGGAGACTTAATTACAGGAAGACCAGTCTAAATATCAGCGAGGTGCATATTTTCCGTGACAAGAGATTTCTCAGCTCTCTTAGACTCTCTCTCTCTCTCTCTCTCTCTCTCTCTCTCTCAGCTCCCTCTCAATTCAGCTCTCTCTCAATTCAATTTCAATTTCAATTTAAGGGCTTTATTGGCATGGGAAACGTATGTTAACATTGCCAAAGCAAGTGAAGTAGATAGTAAACAAAAGTGAAATCTCTCTCAGCTCCCTCTCTTTCAGCTCTCTCTCAGCTCCCTCTCTCTCAGCTCCCTCTCTCGCTCTCTCTCTCTCAGCTCTCTCTCTCTCAGCTCTCTCTCTCTCAGCTCCTCTCTCTCTCAGCTCCCTCTCTCTCTTCCAGCTCTCTCTCTCAGCTCTCTCTCACTCTGCTCTCTCAGCTCTCTCTCTATCACTCTCTCTCTCTCAGCTCTCTCTCTCTCTCAAGCTCCCTCTCTCTCTTCCAGCTCTCTCTCTCAGCTCTCTCTCTCTCTCAGCTCTCTCTCACTATGCTCTCTCAGCTCTCTCTCTCTCAATTCAATTCAATTCAATTCAATTCAATTTGCTTTATTGGCATGACGTAACAATGTACATATTGCCAAAGCTTACTTTGGATATTTACACTATTAACGTAATTAAAATAATAATAATCAATATTGTCAACAGGACAACAGTAACAACAATAACCAAGGGTCAAAATAACCATTGAACAATAACAATATAGAGGACATGTGCAGGTTGGTTGGTCTGTCAGACACTGTCCCTCATCTTATGGCAGGCAGCAATGTAGTGCGCTGCCAACCCACAGCTCTCTGCGTCCTCCCCCAACAGGACGGGTAGCCTATTCTCATCAGAGAGGTCTTTGAAACCTTGAAAAATGGTTTCAAATTTGGGGAAATGACACTCTCTAATTGTTTTATATTTTTTACATTTTGTCAGGAAATGCAGCTCTCTCTCTCTCCTAACAGTTTTGGAGTCAATATATTATAGTATAAAGCGGCTGTGGATTTGTTTGTGATGTTGAGAAAAATGCGAATTATCTTAGGGTCTAACCCCGTCAGGTGATGCTGCTCAGAGAGATTGGAGGGGCCACTGGGTCACTGTCCAGTGGTTTTGGAGTGGAGTGGATAGAAACCATGTTGAGTGTAACACACACACTCTCTCTCTAACTCTCTCTCTCTCTCTTTCATACACACACACACACACACACACACACACACACACACACCAAGGGCTGTCTTAAATATTTTTGGAACCTCAAGTCATGTTAAGTTGAAATCATAAAAGGAATGCAGAAAGCTTTGGAGGCTCTTTTGCTTTGTTGTAATATGTTTGGCTCATGTTTCTGGATATTGGGTTTGACCAGAAATATTTTTAGTTTTGATGACTTATAAGGCATAGCACAGGCAAATTGGGGTTTTAACAAATAATTGTATATTTTCTTATCAGAAAATATGATACTTTACATACAATGTTGTATATCTGCATTTGAAATACACTGAAATACACGTTATTGCCTGGGTATCAATTAAATTAAACAATTGGATTTGGACAATTAGATTAGTACCATTCAAGTAATACAATAAAGCCAAGTCGATACAATTTCGCGCTTTGACATTGTAACCTCACTCCCGCTGCCATGTGGGTATAGCTAGCCTGCGTTGGTACACCGCCATTGGAAAATAGCTTTCTGAGATAAGATGAGAGTCCGATTTGTAAACGTAACCTTTCATGTTCACAATAACCCCGAAGGCTCCCAAGAGTCATCGCTAGTGTTCCAGCTGTGTTTATGGCTCAATAATAACTTGACACATTTTACAATAATGTATGAAAATTGCATACAGTTTCACTTAAAATTGTTGCCAGTTTTCTATCATGGTTTTATAAACTAGTTTTGATGATCAGCTTGCAGCATCTTTATGTTGATGTTATTTTTGGCATGGAGTTTTTTCATTGTACTAAGAAGCATATATATTAGCATTAGATCCATTTTGTATCTGAATGTGCCCTTGAGTTATAAAACTATTGCTTTATATCATTATTATAGCATCATTCCATTTTTATCAGACTTATTCATGCTATTTTGTCAAATCTTAAAATACTTTTGACCAATTTAATTCCAAATCCATTCTGAAATGCAATGCAAAACGTCAAGACAGCCTAAATAATTGAAAGATATTTATGACAAAATAGACAACTCAACAAATGTTTATATTGACATTTGAATATTCACCTTACTTTCATAGTACGAATTATTGATAAATTAAACATGCTACAATATTAATAGGTTATATAGCCATGCATTTTCCGTGATATATTTAAGATGAAATCTGTATATAGCCTAGAATAGCAGCGTATTTTTTGTCTATATATTTCAAACGTTTTTTGATAGGATACTAACCTCTGTACAGAAAAGTCACTTGGTAAAAACACAATTACGCATGGATGGCTGTTTAAAATAGTTTTCTTCTTTCAGCTCCGGAGGAAGATATCCTCAAAGGCAAACAGTCCATCAGAAGTCATGCACTGGGAAATCAGAACTCTGAGAGTGAGATATTGTTGGATGGCGACGATGACACTCTATCATCCTTGGAGGAGAAGGAATTGGAGAACCTAACAGGTAACGCATGCAGCTCATCCGTTTCATGTCCCAGCGCGCATCAACTAGAGGGGGCTGGGAACGCACGTTAGTTGAATCCTCCTCCTCCCGCCTTTAAACCGTCTCCATTGCTAACGCGTGTGGGTGCTGGTAGGGGTACTTTGAGGCACGCATGCAGGGTAACGGGGCTCCCGAACGGTTAATAAGGGGGGATCACCCCCCCCCCCCCCCCCCCCCCCAGCGCCTCCCATTACCCCTGAAGTCTCTCTCATTATGCTTCTGTGATCGCTCTGGGTTTGCATCTTCGCTGAGCCTCGACTCTACCAACAAGCTTGTGTAATATGATTCATAGTTAGCTTTTGACACAGTAATTATTTTATTGTTTTAATAATTGAGAGGTTGAGAATACGCCTATAATTGAAGAAGTGAACTGTGCATTTTGTTTAGATGTTTTGGCCTCGACGTCCATTTCTATTTTGAAGCCTTCCTCTGACTTACTTTATGTTAAATGTTAAATTTGTCCCCATGACAAGTGCGATATTTTGACAGCATGCATCCCATGAAGGCCTATTTTATGATTGGGCATAGTGTATAGGTGCACTGCGCGCGGCTTTTAGCTAACCGCTATTATTTTCACATTTTAGAATAGCACTATGGACCTAAAACATTTTCTGTGTCTTTAGTTGTTTATGACTGCTCTAAATGTGCAGTTTTCCTATATGAATCCATGTAGAATAAATAGTATAGGCCTAGATCAAAACGACTGTAGGCCTTGCGGTTAACAAGACTCAAACACATAAAATGACGTTGCTGTCCAATTTCTTATCCACTTTAAATCCATTATCTCACACCCTTATTTATGTTAATGTGGTTCCCTATACTTGGAAATCCTAAAGGCCTATTAGTTATGTTACTAATCGGATTGCATCCTATATAATCCTCAATATCCCCACATCATGGCTTTCCACTATAACATGTTCACCCACTGTAGCCTAATATAAATGCGCTCAGAGCGCAATTATATAAAAACACAACGCCCACGATGACAATAGGATTAAGGGGAGATCCCATGCCTAATAAAGTGACATGGATTCTGAAATGAAGTGGAAATTGTCATGTGGGTCTCATACTCCTCTGACAAGACAGACAGACAGGACGCAGCGTCCCAGTACAGGCAGCTGTCTGTCTGAACAACACCAGGTGTAATTGAATGTCTCCATGGCAGTGATTGAAAAATGTTATTTCACCCCCGGATTACATGCTAATGCTTACAATGCTCTGAGGGCTAAGGGGGGAGAGAGGGGGAGACGGCAACAAATGAACATATCTGTTTATTCCATAGCCATTCGTTTCTGAAAGACGTGGGTGCTTTGGGGAAATCAAGCCGGGCTCTGAAGCCCTTTTCTGCCGCGCTGCACATCTGCAAATACAATGCTTCTGCACACGTGGAGAGCGGGGCCAGAGCCGTAAGAGCTTACGCGTTGCTCCCCGGAGCGGCCTTCTCGTTGTCATACTGGCATAAATTAAGATTGATGAGAGATTAAACAGACGAAGCACCAGCCCGCAATCAATGGGGCCTGATTGACAGCTGATTCTATTTTTTGACAAGGCTGGTCTGTCTTGGGTTACGCAGATGCTGATATTTTATTTTACTCAGCGGGTCAAACCACCTTTCCCTGCCTGTAGTCTAAGTACAAAGAGGAACTGTTCAGATCATGGTGATTCTGGTACCAGTTCTTATCAATACGTCATATTATATCTAAATCGATCTAGCAAGGAAATTAGGTCTAATAATAATGCTAATAATAATTGTACAATGTAAATTGCATTCCTAATTTAAATTGCAGTTACATAATGCAGTTGCATGCAGTTTTAGGCTATAGAAATAATACAATTGAGAATTATATTTATTTTTCTTCTTGACCTTGCTTCTGATAGATATGCCTATACAACCGACCCATAGCCTAGAGCAAATATTTTCCCTCATTAAAAATGCATATGTGGCCTTTACTATATTGTTATGGTCTTTTCACGGAGACAAAAAGAGCCATCAAAGTCAGTGTGTGCCCTTGAGTTTATATGTTTACTTTTACACGCTGTTGCTCTCTCTGTTTTCTCGAGGAGGGGAAGGGGGTGATTTTTGTAAAGCGCGCTAATGTTTGCTTTCTGGCCCGTGCCGTTGTTGGGCCCTGTCTGTCTCCTAGGCCCTGTAAACATGAGCACTAGCGCTCAGCTGGTCGCCCCGGCCGTGGTGGTGAAAGGAACGCTGTCCATCACCGCGTCTGAACTCTACTTCGAGGTGGATGAAGAAGAGGCCAGCTTTAAGACGATCGATCCAAAGGTAAGAGAGGGGCTTTAACTTCCATTGATCCAAAGCAGGCCCTCCCGTCATTCTGTAAAACGAGCTTTCAAAATGGCTCAGGCATTTCTCCCAGTCCTTCCCTGACCCTAGCACCCCAGCACCTCCAATTCATGCTTTTCTGCAGCCTAATTGCTTTATAAAGCCTTTATAAGAATTGAGTAAATAACTCCAACCATGAACATGCGTAGACTAAGCCTTTAGGCTATTGCATGACGACTGTAAGCAGCCTCGACTTCTGCGATCATCATCAAGTCAAATTATGATCTAATAATCAAAATGCAAATAGAGACTCAATAATCGCTATAATTGAGTTTCTAACAACCTTATAGGCTATAATGGTGTTATGTGGTGTGTGTATGAGCATAGTGAAGGTGAACAGGAAGCTATAGCTTCACTCGTGCTTGAATTGCATTGGTTTAGTGGGCTACGTCATTGACAATATCAGGTCTCTCTGAAAACGGGTGTTTTCTGTGCAGATTCGATACACAAAGGCCTCAGAGTCTGCAGAAGCATCACAAGCGAACATTTGAAAAGTACGTTTCTATTATGATTTGCGATAGACTTTGTGCCTGATATAGAGAGAAGAGTCGGCCTGTTCTTCTTCCTTCGGTCTTTCAGTTGTTCGTGAAATAAAGCCCAGGAATCAGGAATGCTGTGTTGGCCAATGGCTTATGTTGTGGTAAGTTTTGTTGAGAATCAAACCATGAAATGACTTGAATTTCTTTTCTTCGACACCTTTGGAATGTAGCCTATATGACTCCTTTGAAAATCCGAAATAACAGGCTATAGTAATTAAAATGAATTACAAAATATCCTCTTTCGATTTGTATTCAACAGTTCAGTAATAGGCCAAATAGGTTCTGCTAATGCATAGCCTATTGTACTAAGCAATATACCTGCGTGGTATTTAGTCGCCCGTAGCGAGAGCAATATGAATGAGGTCTCGTTAAGAAATGGGCCCTGACTTTCCCTGGCTAGTCATTGAGTGACAGTTGTATCTTTTTGCAGCAGCCTGTGCCCTGGGTTATTGGCAATAACAACAATAATAGTTATAATCATAATCTAGTTATAAAAACAGTAGCAGATACGTTCATTAATCAACATTTTAGATTTTCATGCATAAACTTTTTCCTATTGAAACGGCAAATGAATGAACCTGAATTTAGCAGTGGTCTATTCTGGTGAATGGGCCTACTACAAGTGGTTGTTGTGGTTCTCTTTATCCTTGTGCAATTTTTCGCCGAATTATAGCCTATCTACCCAATAGTTAATTCACAATAATAACAGATATGCATACCGGTGTGTTTAAATATGATCTTTGCAGCCATATAGCCTATCGACATCAAACTGTCAACTAAATAGACGTTATTCTTTTGTTAAAACAATTTGCATCAAATTGAACTCAATTATAGTGTGGTATATTAATTATTCCAAGACGCAAATTAATGTATGGTATTGTATATGCATAATAATGCAAAACTCGCATTTTGTATCAAATTAATCTAGGTCCAAGATTTGCCAAATGTAAATGTATTATTATTAAGTTTGAACATTCCTTTTTTACACACATGAATTCAGTTTTTCGCACAGGAATTGATTCCACGATCCTCTTTATAAAGTAAATATAAATTACATTGTATTACTCTTCCTAAACAATCCCAGTTTTCAAAACATGTATACAAACACAAGGCCAAGTTGTAATGTAATTTGCTTAGTTTTATTAACATTTCAGTTTAAGGTCACATAATGAAAAATTTGAACTTGGCACGCTACATTTTTATTCTTTCACTTAAAGATTTTGTGCATATAATTTTAAATAAACATTTCTTCACTTTGTGAAAACATTTAAAACAAAACAACAAACTATTACATTTAGCTTAAAATGTACCTTCACGTTCTCTCTCTGCATGGCAATGTCCCATTTCACTCCATTGTAAAAGTTTTTTTTTGTTTGCTTGTTTTTAGGTTCTCAATTGTTTCACATTGCTCGAAGAAACCAAGATCATGACGTTTTCCTGCACTCTGAAGTGATCTCAACGTCACTTCGGCCCTAAATAGCAATAGTATCACAATCAGACAGTTCGACAGTTTATAATTTGTCCAAACTTTTCGCATTAGTGAGGATTTCCCTCGCCAGTCTCCACGTCTGCTTTGCGGCAGCTTCCAGGGCCGAGTGGGGCTTCCCCTGAAACAGGTCCAAATTTGGTAAGAAATAATGGGGGCATCTGCGGCACTGCAAACAAGAGATGAGCTGCAGCAGAATTCCGTTGATTCGGTCCCCGAGGCAGGACTCGTCCCAGTCGGTCTCTCTCGGGTGTTTCTCGCACTCGTACAGCAGCAGGGTCTTCATGTGATAGCTCTGGAGCGGCTGACCGGGTAGCTCGAGATGACGGTCACGGAGAGTCTTCAGGACCGACAGGCATCTCTTCCTGCATCCCGCCATCAGGAGCCTATTCTCGGCCTCGCTGAACTGCAAGACCCAGGCGTCGCTCTCAGCCGAGCTCTGTTTCCCGGTCAACGAGTAGCACTCTTTGGAGAGCAGGTTAAAGCCCTCGGCCTTGACCTCGGCCACCCTGTTAGGACCAGGCCAGGGGATATGGGGCATGGGCCACTGGGCAGCGCTCCTAGGCCAGATCCCTGTGCACTTGAATGCAGGGGTGATCTGAACCACGTATCTCTCCCGGATCCTTAGTTTTACCTCACTGGTGTCTGCTACCATTTTAACCACGTCACGGTAGCTACACTTATCCACCGCTTGCGCCACCAGAGTCTGAAACCTTGAGCGGATCTTCCGGGCGGAAAGGTAGCCCGAGGCGGTGATGAACTCGACCCAGAGAGACATGCTCCTTTTGCGGCCGTCGCTCAGCTTCAGTACGGCGCAGCCAGGCAGAGAACCGTCGTCAACAAAGTTGAACACTCCCATCTGGTTGAGGTAGAGGACCACCTCGAACTCGTTGGGGGCTATGACCTCCATCCCCTCGAAGCGCGCCTCTATCTCGCTGAGAGAGGAGATGAACCGGGGTTCCTGCACCTCGACCTCCTTCAGGACGTCCGAAACCACCTTACACACCTCCCGGATAGTCTTTGCAATGGCCGCTTTTCGAGTTTGGCATCTCTCGCTGTAATATTTGTTGAGCTGGTAGACCAGCTTTGCCTGCGTCGCGATCATGTTTGGGCAGAGGTCCGGGCTGTACACCGGCGAGTCGCAGTACGTTGACGGATCCAATGCTTACCGGTAAAGCCAGAGGCGAAACGCTCTTCCCCAAGCAATGGAAAAAATATATAATTGAACTTTTTTTGCGTTCACAGCGGATGGACGTCAGACAGTATCGGAAGGAAACAGATAGGGATGCAACGTAATAGGCTACTAAATATCAGTCCAAGTCATATGCAGTAAGACAGCCCCAGAATGGGGTGGGCTCAGTGTACAGTATAATACCGTCCGTGTCCTCGCGCCTGCAGACCCTAAAGGATAAAGCTCTGGTCGTGCCAACTCATCTCTCCTTGTCCGTTCCGTTGCACGTGAAAACTACGCGTTATTCTCCTACCTTGCCCCACTGTTGTCGACACTCAGCTGTGCGAGCTGGACTTGTGTAGTTTATGAATGGTCCCCTAGAAGAGTGAAAGGGGTCGGGCTTCTCCTCCTGCAATCAACGGCGGAGCTGTCAGTGCAACCAGCCAATCAGAGCCCTCTCCGACAGGCAACTCTTGCACGAGAGGCACACTTTCGCTCTCCAACATCCTGCGCGCAGAGCCTCTGCTCCCAGGTCGTGATATAGGAAGATAAACGGTTCCTTTTCGTATACACACTTTGTGCACTTTTCTACGAAGCATATATAATACGTTTTAAAGACAGCTGTGTCTCTTTTGCCTTGACCTAGCTTTTTTTTCCCCAGGTGTGCACGTGCTTAATATATAATGGAAATATTTAGAAGGAGAATATGTTGAGCATTGAGTGATGCTGGATACCTGCATGTTTGGCAAGGGAAGTGTTTATTTTTTTGCTCTCTTTCATGTCTGAAGGGCATCAATTTGGAACCCTTTTGCTTTTCTATGGCAGTTAATGAGGCTTGATATTACTTTATAAACATTAGTACTAATGTTTTAATCTCTTATGACAATGTAGCCAATACGTTTTTTAAATGCTTTATAGTTATTGTATTTATGCATTATTGGACTATTCGTGCATTTGCATATTTCTAGTGAATTGCTAAATCATGTATACAAGCAATTTTTGACTGATGTTTTGTGACATTTATGCGTCAAGAAACAAGAAAGACTCATTTTTATTAGAAAGCGCGTGTCTCCAGGCTGCGCGAGGCTGCGGGTTCAACACGGTGTGTGATAATCAGGTTAACGAGATCAATCGAATGTTCAGTGAGTGTACAATATTGCTAATATTAGTGTTTTTTTTCTACGAAATACCATACCATTTTGTTTTCCTGATTTTCAGTCTTTTTTCTCTCCTTTCTAATAGGCTAGAAGTTGTTCACATTTTAAACCTCTAACCTATACACTTGTTTTAAAGGAAATGCGGTTAGTTGTGCCTAGTGATTTCATCTTGGTATATAGTGACAATAGATGATAGGCCTGAATAGTTAAAATTACATCCAGTAATTTCCCTCGGATATCGGATTAAGGGCAACAACCTTCCCCTCACCGAAATGTGATTGAGTGTTTTCCCATAACATTTCCCCATAATAATTTCCCTAAAATTCTATCGGCCAATTTAACATCATATTACTTCCATATTTGACCCATTTCATGCCATTGCACAATTTAAGAACGGAGAACAATTCGGCCTAGAATGGTTTCAAGTTTTAGCACGCACGTAACTGTAAGACGTGATGAACGATAACAAGACTATAGGCCTATTATTTTCTTTGAAATCATAAGACCCTTTGAGATTTTAATTTTTTTTATATTACATAATTATTCAAGACTATGTTTGGGGCCTGTTTTATTTTAGCCTATTTGCTCTTGTCGTTTTATGAAGCCCATGTTAAATTAATAATGCCTAATTCAGAAAAAAGCAAAAGGTCCGATGCTGCTCTTTTCAGATTCTTATTACAACAATTTAAATATGTAATTGATTTCCAAGAAGCTCAATTATATTTTAAAATCACTCTAAAGACATAAACAACCGCTTTTCTTTCTCATGGTGCACGGTGCTTGGTTTTCAAAAAATGCACGTTATTTTAATCTGGTCATCGCTTTATCGGCGCGTGAACCTTGTCGGTGATGAATAATAAACGGACAGGGCTTCTTCGCGCGGGCCCGGGGTTGTAATTGAAGTCCTCTTATCACCCCAGACTTCATGTTAGATGACTTAAGAACCCATCACCGTCTCCTCGCGGGCACAGCACCGAGACGTGCAGGGAAAAGGCGGGGTGTGAGACAGCTCCTCAGACAGAGATGCTGCAAAAGAATGGCCCAAAAAATAACGCATCAGTTAAATGAAAGCCACTTGAGTTGAAGTCCTCTTTGCAAAACTATTGATCTATCTGCAGCTCTGAAGCTTCTCTGCCCGGCCTCGCGTTGTATCCTACTCAAGTTAATGAGGCGCAGGTTGTTTGGAGCTTTGGCATTAAATTCATTAGGGAGTCAATTGGACATTCTCTGTCCAGTGAACGTCGTTTTTATGTCGGGCTCCCTCAAGGCTTTTGGCCTAATTAGATATAAGTGTTTTAATTGCAACGACTTTTGGCTATTTGGAGCTGGAAATATCTCCAGGTCCTTGTTGTGGTGTTAAGCAAAACACCCAACGATGCAATTACGCACGGTTGCCCTCGGAGTTAACATCGTTTATCAAAAATCTATATTGATGATATGAAAACCTTCTTTCCCATTCTTATGAACGTTATTACGAAGTTATTGCAAAAATAATATTTCATTATCTCGTTTCAAATATATTGTTATCATACAATAGTCAACGAAGCTAGTTTGCCATTTTAACATCTAACATGGGTAAGTATTCAGGGCGGGTATCAAATGTGTTTAGACATATGGGGCGAAAAACTGTATTTGCAGAATGTTTGGCTCTTTAAACAGAGAAGGACTAACATTTCAAATGTAACTGATGGTAATATTAGTAAATGACTGAAACACTATTGTCTGAACTTTATGCAGGCTTTATACAGCCAATGCATTTTGTAGTTGAGTATGAGTAAAACAAAACGATTATTTCCCATTTAGGAACATAGGCTTTTTGCGCCAAGTATACATTATGTTTCCCACAGATTGGTCAGCATGACCACCACACAAAGGTTCATGGACTGACACATTCCTGGAATACTCATGTGCTCTATTTAGCATTAGTTTCAAATTCTCACCACATTCATTTTAGCAGCGTATTTAGCTGAAGACTGGGAAATGGAACCACTGAAAATACAGTGTGGATACTGAAATAAGCCACAAAGTTGCCAGAAACCAAGTGAGAAAGTGTTTTTCAGTTTTTCTATGGAAACAATTTTTCTGTAGAAACAATTTTTTTTTTAAACAGTAAAATGACAAAGCCTGTGGACTTGTCATTCTCATAGATTCCAGTAGTGGTGATGAAGCTACTAACACTACAGGGAGTACAGGTTATACTCTACTGTAGGAGATGGGGTTGGATGATATTTGGGGAGACATCTTCTATGATATGCTACTTCAGATATCGAAAATATCCGAAACAGTCATTTTGCGCAGTTAATGAGTAAATCATTCCAGCCTGTGATGTTTTTGTTCTAGTCAGGTTAAATAATCTTTGTATGGTGAAAAAATAAGACTTAGTTAATTCATTTAGACAGCCTAACTGATCAAACTGCACAGTTTTGATTTGTAAAGTTCAAATTGAGGATTGTCTTGCTCTTCACGATATATCGTCAATGTCCAATATCACGATATTCAATTTAATCATATTTTTCGGCCCAACCCTAGAATGAGACCTCGTGACTGGTTCACACAACTGACTGTTTTGATTAACTAACTAAGCCTAGATGTTGAAACACTATAAAACTGTAATTAAGGGGTGTGTCTGGTGGATATTTGAGTTTAATTGAGTAATTTGTTTTATTGGCTATTTCCTGGTTCAAGTTAAGTAATGTAACCTCAAGTCTATGTGATCATTTTCACTTATGATGAGTGTAGTTGGTGTTTACACACACACATATATATATATAGGCATACACACACACACACACACACACACACACACACACACACACACACACACACACACACACACACACACACACACACACACCCTTCTCAAGAAAATGCAATCTGGCAATTTTCGCAGGATCCTGCATATTTGGTATATTGCATTAACCATCTCTGTTTTATAAACCTGTTCCTATCTTTGATTTACAGTTGGTGGAGTGGCATAGATGTCAGTGTAGGAGTTATGAAAAGGCCCAATGGTCAACCTAGAACATTCACCTCCTATCTGTATATTGTTATTAGCAATGTTCTGGAGCTGGATTTACGGTAGTAGAATTGACGTTGTCAAGAGACGAGATAAGACACGTAGACACAATCGTTAATTTGGAAGTTTCTAGCAAAAATACTTGAGAACTCTCACTCTAACCGAACAGGCAAAGTTACATTAGGTACCGCGTGATGTATGGTTTACTTACAACCTTGATTTATTGTGAAGATTAAAAAAATGCAAAACTGTTGAGATTTGACATTCTTTTCCCCTGAATCAAGCCCAACTGGAGGAATAGTCATACTTAAGGAGCCTTGGCGTGCAGTTTAAGAAAGAAAAAATAAGAGTTAAGGGTTTTTATTTTAGACTGCGAGACTGTTTAATATCAAAAGCACAGTTCAGTCCCTAAGAGATGAATACACGCTCCAAGGTCTTGTCCCAAATGGCACCCTATTCCCTATATAACACACTACTTTTGACCAGAGCCCTATTGGTCCTGTGGGCCCTGGTCAAAAGTAGTGCACTATATAGGGAACAGGGTGCCATTTGGGATGGGACACACTCAAAGTCGTGAAAACGTCCAAATGTAAAGTAACACGCTAACTGTAGCTTAATGAAATATATGGTGACAGTAAGTATGACTTATAAAGACAAATTCTAAATACACTCTGAACTCGAGACAGGGTCAATATACACATATCTGGAATATAAATTCTTACCTTCATAAGTAACTGAAGCAAAACTATCTGAACCGGAGT